GGGGAATAAAGCATGTTTTGAAGGCAGAGGCATGGGGAGTTTTTTTACTTTTGTTAGAAGGAAAAATTGATTCAATGAAATACTTCAAAGAAAAAAAAAACGTCAAAAGGCACAAGGTAAGAGTTTAACCATGGCAGTTTTAACTTGAAAGGCCAGTTCATTAAGGATCTAAGAATCTCACCAAACCAAAGGACACCAGCAGAAAGTTTCTTTCAAAAACTGGATTAAAAACATTTATCCAACTGTAAAGACCAGCCTTGGCAAAACATTTTTACTGGGTCCAAACCTCCACCTCAGGACAGTTTTTGTAAATTTCAAAGAATCGTGGCGTTTTGAAATGTTTTCATTGCCAGCGCAGGTCACAGAGATGAAAAACCAGTTTTATGGTAGTTCTACATGGTGCAATTATACTGTCTGTTAAAGTGGCAGCACAAATTAACGTTGACAAAATAGATTTCTGACACTTGAAAAACAATTCAGAACCTTTTGTTATGGTTTGTAGGAGGATTGACCCCAAAATGATGACTTGCATAAAAACTAAATGTATTTTATGAGGAACAAAAACCAAAAACCTTGATGTGGCAGCAAAATATAGACGATGTCAAGGAATACAGAGGAGTCCAGAGTGTAAGCATTAATGCAGCACTGGTGACTCAATTCAGGGGTTGCAGCCTACGTAGACCGCAGCCTACACAGTCCTGTTAGGCTGCTTAAACTGCTGTGAAATGAGATGATCTAGTCTTCAGATGACGTATGTTTGTGACCCTGTGCTATCCCCTTACCATGGTGATATATTTTATATCCCATCCCTTCTTTTGGAACATGTATTGACACGTCTTTTCACAGGAGGYATAACGTCACAAATAATCATTTGGGTTTAGCTCCAGTGTCAGTACTTGTAATTACATTTTACTTTTACATATTGCATAAAGCATTTCATCCACTAAATTGCCTAGCACTCTTTTAAAAACAAATTCTTTGGTCCATGATGAATTTCCAAACTCCGTTGTAAAACCCCCCTCGAAAAAACAAACTGCTATCCGCCATCCTATTTAGTTTGCTTACGATGCCATGAATCCTGAGATATCCTTGGCTGCGTCGGAAACTCGAAGGCAGCCTAACTTTCCAGGGTTTTGTCAGACGCATTTGAAGGAGTCGATGAAATTGAGACAGCCTTCGGCACGGTATAAATGTGCCCTATGTGGGCTGAAAACCCCTGAATTGCGACACAGCCGCTGACTGAATAATCACTCTGGAGCGGATGAGGAAGTGGAGGCACCTGGGTTATGGTTATGTTATATGGTGATTGGTGAAACCCATGTGAGCGGGGACCTCATAAGTGGGCCCATTACTCTCTCCAAAAGAGGCACTGAGCTTTTAATCAAACCTTCTGGTCCCTCGGAAGAAGGACACCAGGTTAGAAACACTCAGTGTTCTAAGCTTATCAGAATCCATAAAAAGATCTACAAGAATTCTTTCCGTTCAACTACTCAGGACCAAGCACTGGCCCAAATAGTGCAAAGAGGTCTCTAATTCAATGCCACAGGCATCACACAGACCATTTTCATGGAGTCCCATCACCAWTTTATGGCRGTTGAGCAAGTTGTGCCCARTTAGGACTCCAACCAAAGTAYTTAAAGTTTTCCTTSTCAGGGCAAGAAGGGCTCTTCCAAACCAAGGATTTGGGCCATTTATCAGCCACCTGGGTTAAATAGTGACAGGGAACAGGTGTGAGTGGGCRTGGCCGCAGCTCWGAAGCACAACAAACTGTGGGAAAAAAGTGAAATGTTGTGAGGAAGGAAGACGGGGGGAAACTAAATGTCTCCACATGCTCCATYCGAATTGATGAAATCGGCTCTCGTTGTCTCAGTTGTTAATAAAATCAAAGTTACTTCAAAGCCTTTTAGCCTTTTCAGCTGCAGCTGAGCTGAAGTTGATCGGTGCTGATTTTGACTGTATGAAACATGTAGCTGTTTAAAATGCAGCGACCGAGTGCTGCCTGRAGAGTAGGACATCATCTTTCCCTTTAAGATTCAAATCCTCCCTTTGTGAGCTATAAATAATCTCAAGGTAGCCTGCAGGTATCTTTTAAACATTCTGTTAAACTGTTTCAGAGAAAGAGCTTTTTCTCCATTTTTTTTATGTAAAGGAAATGACTTTCCTCAAGGAAACCGTTTACTTTAATGGTTACCAATTTAAATAAAACCTGAGGTGCTTCTGTCCTCCTGTTTTTTTCTCCTTCTCCCACACAGTCTTTGATTCTGTTTCTGTCACACACGCATAACAAAAAAGGCACAGCCGTCTTATTAAAGTGTCATGTTGTCAGCTTGTCCGTCTTGTGTTGCTTTTTAGAAGCCCCCCCTGCCCTTTCTGCAGCTAAATAACCACCGGCAGCCCGGCCTTGGCCACCCTAATCAAAGCTACTTAGCAGCGGCCCTCCCTCAGGTTAGAAAGCCACCGTGTGTCTGTGTTCGTTTCCACTTGACCTGCTCTGACTGCTGTTAACAAGCTGCACAAAGACAATGAAGGAAATCTGTGTGTGTGTTTGTGCAGCCTTCAGGGTTAAATGTAACTTTTCCAGGTTTCATATCTGAACGCAGGTTTTCCACATCAGTCTAATTGTCTTAATTGTTAAGGTAAACCTTTGCTTTCAGACATGTTGCCTCATGTTGTTTTGAATCTCTTTGTTGCTTTRTGTTTATCTTTAATTCCCCTCATTTGGTTTGACTTTGTTCCTTGGTTGCATTTAGAAAAAGATTTAAAAAAAATTTTTTTTTCGAGCTTTTTTACTGTAAGTGCTTTTTCCTCTCCCCTCCTGTCTCCATCTTTGAAAGGGATTTATTTTCCGTCCAATCATTCTTCAAACATTGTCCTAAGTGCCTCGGTGCTGATGTAAGAAAGACAACTTAATTAGACAGTTGGCAGTCGTCGCTGTTGCTCTGAAATGGAAAATAAAATTCTCAACTGTGATGTGGTTTAGCGAGTCAGATTTTGTGACAAAGGCTTTTGAAAGTTCTGAATATAGAAAAGAAATTGAAAAGAAATCATTCTGATTAAATTTTGGTTGGAAACAACCTGTGAGTTGTTGGATCTCTGAGCTGTGGCTTTTGATTCAAAGTTGCAAACAAAAGTAGGTAAATTATTCCATGGCACCATGGGATACCCCTAAAAAAGTCACTAGTATGAGTTACTTTTAATTTCTTTTATATAGACATGTGAGACATTAATATTCYCATATAAGGTGGAAAAAAGGTAGTTTTTCAATGGTTACTGGGGAGGAATGACAATAATAACAAACATAACTCATTAAAACTATCTGAACTAGACATAGTAATGTTTATTAAAACTATAAAACATTTCGAATCAAAACATAAAACAGTTTTATTGAGAAGGGGGTCCCTGTCATCCAACCAATCACATTTTACCCAAACCATACCCACACCCAGAAACTCTCACTTAATGACTATTGAGGCCCCTAMTTGCTTTTATTTCCATTTTTATGTCAAGAATTATTGACAATAATACAAAGCTTAACAAAAATTGGAATTTGCAGTGTCCCCATATTACTGTAGTTTTTTTTCAAACTGAGTACAAATGCAACTGAGATAACTGCCTATGCTTAGTACAAATACCATCTAGTTAATAATGTACTACTTAGTACCAGTAAAAACATTAAACATTGAGTTTAGAAACACATTTTTTATTAAGAACACAGCAAACAGTCTGCTGTCTTATTACTTGAAGTTATCCTAAAATCTCTCCAAACTATGGATATCATCATTATTATTTTTTTCCCTTAGTTTCTTGCAAAGGGAAAGAGAAAATGATGCCAACAAGCTTAAAAGTGGTATCACTTCGAAGTATTTGGTGTTATTACAATTAAGAGTACTTGAGGCTGATATTGGCCCTGATACAATACCAGTACCTGTATTGGAACACCACTAATTAGACTACAATAAGC